ACGGGTATAAAGAGGGGCGTTAGATAGAGGAAAGAAGGATAATTAAGGCAATATAATAATTACTCCCCTACCTTTATTACTGCCCTAGAAAGAATTAAATCTCTCTGCCCTGCCTATCCGACCCCTTACTTTTAATTTTACCTTCGTATATTTTTATATACTTCTCGTATCTCTCTTTACGAGAATTATAGCCCTAGATATTAATATTAAGGTAATTAATCTCTATATTAATAATTCCGTTATTATAGTTAAAGGCCTCTCCTTTAATATTTATAAGTTTATATAGATCTTTCTTATATCTTTATATAAGTCGGTAACGATTAATAACTTTAAGTAAAACGTAATTACTTATCGCGCTATAGTTTAAAAGTATATATATATAATATCCCTTAATTTAGATATTTAATACTATTTAGTTACTATAGCTTACTATTACTATATATAGGGTCCTTAGATCTTATCGTATTATACTAGTTTATAACCTTTTTATAGATAGCGTACCTTATTTTTTACTTAGTCCTTATTTATTTTATTTAGGTATTCTTCTTTAATTTATTATTAATATTATTTCTTTATATTTTTATTATATAGTATTATATTAAGGCTTAAAAGACTAATTTCTTATAGCTAATTAAAGACTTCTTATTTCTTAACGCTATATTATTTATATTATACTACTTTATAGTTAATTATATACTATACTTTATAATTCTATTTATCTTTATACTAAAGGTTAAGTTTTCGCTTTATATCTTTTTATTTTATATATAGTATTTCTATATTAATTCTTCCTTAGTTAAATATAGCTTTTAGCTTTTATATATATTACTAATAATCTTTTAGTATACTATTATATTATTTATACTATACTTATACTTTTTTATATTTATAAACTCTATAGTTTAAGTATATATATTTATTATAATCTTCTTTATTATATTTAATTCGTTATATAAGTCTTTAAAATATTAATAGTTTAAATACTTTAAAGTAAGTAGCGCTATACTATTCCTTTATTTTAGCGTATTTATAGAATTTTTATATCTTTAAAAGATATCTCGTTAATAAACTATAATTATCGCGGTATTTAAGTAGTATACTATAATTAGGTTCTAATAATATAACTTAGTTATTTAGGTAGCGTTAATTAATTTTCTAGTAATCTAGTTCTATACTTAAGTAAGGTATCGAAAGTACTTATCTTTTAAACTTAACTTAGAAAGCGTTATATTATACCTTTATTTAAAAGTATATTATATAATCTAGGTAGATATATAATATTAATAAAATATACTTATAGTACTTATAAGTAAGTAGTATTTATAGGTCGTTTTTAAATTCTCCTTATAGTTACTATTATTATTATAGAGCTATAAAGGTATTAACTATAGTAATAGTTATAGTATGGTCTCCTTTATATAGTACTAGTTAATATCGAATTAATATAGCTTATTAGTTTTCTATAAGAATTTAAGGTATTTATTAGGTTCTAATTTTAAGTATTTCTTTAAATTCTTTAAAGTATAAAGTATATTCCTTAATCGTAGTATTTTCCCTTAATAGTAAGGGTAGTAGTATAAGTTCGTTCTTATCTTTTATTTCTTTAAGTATTTCTTATTCTTTAAAGCTTATATTATCGATACTTTATTATTCCTCTTTAAGTTATTATCTAAGTTTTATAAGTATAAGTACTATATTTATATCTTTTTTACTATATTATTTATAGACTACTTATTATTATTATCGATTTTTATTTTATATATCTTTTTAGAATCGTTTACTATTCTTCTTAATTTAATCTTAAAAGACTTTTTTAAGATAAGGGTATTTTAGTTCTATAAATTTAACTTATTTCTATATTTTAAGATCCCTTTATTATATTATTATAAAGGTCTTCTTTAATAGCTTTAAGAACTATCTAATACTATTCTTATCGCTTAAGTATACTCTATATTTATTATTATAGTATATAGTTTAACTAAGGAGTTTATACTTTAGTTCCTATTTATTAATAGCGTATAAGTATTTCTTACCTTTTAAGGCTAGTACTTAATAGGATTTCTTCTCCTTATAAGGTTATCTATATTCTTTAAAGTAATATCTAAGTTTCCTATAATTAAAATACTTTCCTTTACTTTTTTATATTATATCTAGATCTATCTTATATAAGTTAATTATATAAGTATAAGTAATAAGAGTTTTACGCTTTTTTTTATAGTTAGCGAGTTAGTTAAAGTTATTCTTATAAGAAAGGTTTTAGTTTCCTCTTCCTTATTTCTTTTCCTAGTATTATATATACTATCTATCGTTAATTTATACTACTATAGTAATATAGTTTAAGAGGTTATTAGGTCGATTTTCCTTATAGAGCTTATCTTTAACTTCTTCTTTAAGCTTATTATAGAATCGTAATATAAGAGGTTCGTTATCTTAATTAAGCTTTAAAGTAACTTAATAGAACTTTATAGTATAATTTAATACTAAGATCCTTTATTAAAGTTCTTAAAGTTTTTATTTAGCTTCTTATTCCCTATTAATTATTCTAAATACCTTTATAATAGCTTCTTTAAATCCTTAGAAACTAATAAAGACTTTATCTATCTTATTATCTTATCGCGCTAGTTAGTTATCGAGAAAACCCCTTATAATAAGTCTAAACTAAGCTAGTACCGTTCTAGATAAATAATTTCCTATATAGAGTACCTTTTTAACTAGGTCTAAGAGTTTAGTAGGGTAAAACTAAAAGTAAGCCTTAAGTTAAGTAAGAAAGTCTTAAAGTATACTATAAGTACTATTAAATAGTCCTAGCTATTTTAGTTTAACTACTTCTTTAAGGGCCTTAACTTATTTATTACCTCTTTTATTCCTTAGTAACTATACCTTATATTAAAGGGTAAAAATTTTATATATTATATTCTAAGGTAATATAATAGCTTTAAAGTTAGTTAATCTAGCTTACTATATAAGTATATTAATAGTTATAATATTACTTAGAGTAATATAGTACTATATTAAATAAGAGCTTTTAATATATAATAACTAGTATTATTCTTAAGGGATAAACCTATTAAGGGGTTTATATTAATAGATATAATAGGGCGTGGTTTAAGTTATAATAAGTATATTATATTAGTAATAAGTTAGAGGTTATAAACTATAAACTATAACTAGGTAATTAAGTAATTAGAATTAAAAATAAGATTATAATAAAGATTATAATAATTATAATATTAAAAGCTAGAGAGGTATCTATCTAAAGGAGTAATAGTAAGTAGCTATATATACTTATAGAAACTATCCTAGGATTATAGTCCTAGCTATAATCCTCTTTATAGCTTACTATAGCTTACTTATAAGCTATACTCCTAAGTAGTAATCTATTTATATAAAGCTTACTTAGCTTATATATACTTTAAGTAAGCTAAGCCTAAGTAACTTCTTATCCTAACTATTATTCTAAGCTGCTTTATTTTATAAATATAGCTAGCTTTCCTATAGCCCCCTAACTATAGTTATAATATTATAGATAAAATCCTATCTTATAAAATAAGAATTACTTATTATTTTATATATTATTATATATTAAATAGATTACTAGTTATCGTATAATCGGGAATTAAAGAAATAGAGCTAGCTTAGAATACTAGCTAAGACCTCTTAAGAATATAAGCACGACTAACCTCCTTTAAATATAAATATTAATAGAACTAAGATACTTCTAGATATACTTAAAGTATTATAGAACTCCTTAGTCTTAGGGCTATATAGAAGCCTAAATCTAGTCTTAAAAGGCTCTTCTATTTAGCTATAAATATCTATATAAGATAGTATATCTGCTAGTAAGTAAAGATAGAATTATTAACTTTAATACTTCTTTTATATACTAATATACTACTAATAAATTCCGTTAAAAACCCTACCTTATACTCCTTCTTCCCCTCTATTATATAGTCCTATATAATTCCTTAAATTCCTAAAATTCCGCTTTTACTTATATACCTTAAGAGTAAGTAAGCGGTTATAGTAGTTAATCTAGCTATTATTCCGCTCGCCCTTAAAGCTCTAGTATTTATAGTAAGGAACCTTATTAAGGGAGGCTAGTAAGCGCTAGCCGTAATAAAATCTAAAGCGGCACTCTACCTACTTAGTATACTTATTAAGCTATATATAGTAATTATTATAGCGGTAGCGTTATACGCGGTTTAGTACTATCGATAGGAGCTAAATAGTAAAGGGATACTTTAATAAACTACTAATTAAAGGATTCCCTTTTCTAAGAGCCTATATTTACTATAGCTCTAGGTTAATAGCGGATATATAATATCCTTAGATATAGGCGAATTACTTATAGGACTAATCGTTATTAAGGTTTAAGTCTAAGTAGCTACCTAGCTAATATAGGCTATAGTAGTAACTAAAACCCCTACCTTACTACTTATAGCGGCCCTAAGAGTCCGTTAGGTTAAACATTTACTTTAAAATAATAGTTTTAAATAGTATATAACGCTTATAAAAGTAGTAAGTAGCGATATAAGCGTTATCTTATAATAGTTCCTGTTACGGGGTAGGTAGAGGGTCATGCCGTAGGTGCCTTCCGTTGTATTATAATAACAAGCTATGTAGGATCTAACTATGCGCCGCGCCCACTGCTGCTAAATACGCGTTTATGCGTGCGGCCTGCCCTAACCCGCAACGCTTGTCGGCTAAGGTCTGGGCTAATGCCCAGACCCACACCAAGGGTAAATACCCTTATATAAGGTCCCCGCCCCTCTCTCTACGGGCGGTCCCTCATGACGTCAATCCCGCACCTCGGCGCGCGGCTAGGAGGTAAATAACCTACTAGCGCGCTCCTATCGCTCTTTCCTCTTAACCACACCATCATCATCATCATCAGCAGCAGCAGCCGCAACCATAACTATAAGTCTCCTAGCGCCTAGCCGTGCGCTGCCGCCCGCATACGAGCTAACCCGCACCCCCGCTAGTTATTTAAACAATTCAATATGTCCTCCCCCGCCTCGTCCCACTTCTCCGCCGAGATCGACGACTTCGTCGATCGCGCCCTCGCCTCGCCCGCCACCCCACCTGCTGCCCCCGCCGCCCCAGTCGCGCCTGCCGCCGCTCCGCGCCACCCGCTGCCCGGCTTCTCGGCCGTCAACTTTGCTGCCCGCGCCGCCGCCGCCCCCGCTGCGCTCTCCGCTGCCGGCCGCCGCGATGACGCCGACGATGACGACGATGATGATAAGCGCGGGTCCTCGCCGCCCTCCTCCGTAAGCCCCTCCGCCCCTATTCTCGCGAGTGTTGTTAACTCCCCGCACCAGCATAAGCGCGCCGTGGCCCGGGGCGCCACCCGCGATTCCCCCTGCGTGCGGTGTGCCTCGCAGTCCCTCCCCTGCGCCGACCAGGCCGGCCGCCCTCAGGGCAGCTACTTCCTGTGCGCCCGGGCTGGCCGCGCATGTGAGGTTGCGCCGCCCGTCCTTGCCCGTGCTGCCGCAGCTTAGAGCGCCGCGGAGCCGGGCAAGGACCAGAACAAGGCCAAGCGCGCCTTGACCGCCGCCGCCGCCGCCTACCGCAACTTGCGGTTCCTCGAGCGCGCCGCCCTCGTGCCTAAGTGCGTAAGCTCCCTTTCCCGCACTCTCTGCGGCGCTGACTCTCTCTCTCTTAGGGGCACCGTCGACGCCGCCCTGGCCGCCCCCGCCACCTCTGCCGCCGCCGCCTCCACCACCACCGGCACCGCCGCCGCCGCCGCCGCCGCCGCCGTCCCTAACGCCGCCGCCGTCGCCGCTTGGCTGGGTGGCCTAGAGGGCCGGATCCGCGCCCTCGAGGCCGGGGCCGCGCCTCACACTGAGGAGGAGGACGAGGAGGAGGACGAGGATGACCGTCTAGTGGTCGAGACCCCGCCGAAGAAGAAGGCCCGCCGGGCCTAGTCTGTGCGCCCTCGAGCGCGCCCGCAAGGGCCAATGCGATTTGTTTATGCTGCCGCCGACCTAAGTGCGCCCCGCCTATTGTCCGTAGTCGCGGTATCCGTGACGTGCGCCCGTAGCTTGCGCTGGCGTAGCGACCGCCGCGGGCCCGGTGCCCCGCTGCTTCCTCGGGGGCGGGGCGTGGTCTCCCCCGCATCTTAGGGTGCTAGCTGCTTTGCCGCTAGGGGGGTGGCTTCTCTCGCCGGGCCGTCGCTTTCCTCTACTGGCCCGTAAAGGGCCTCGAACCTATCTAGAGCTGCCGCGCCCTCGAACTCGGAAGCCGGCTCCTACGTTAGGTCCTGGTAGCCGCGCTACTTAACGAGGACTTCGCGCCTCCTACCGCGGCCCACGTTCTTCTAACGGGCTGCCCGTAACTCCTCTACCGAGAACTCCTCCTCCCCCTTAACGAGGATAGCGGCTAGTTGGGGATCCGCTGTCTCTTGGCCCGGTAAGGGGTCTGTAGCGGCGCGACGAAGGAGGTCGACGTTGATCGTGCTGTGGATGCCGGAGGGCAGCCCCTCTAGCTCTACGGTCTACGGACTTAGCACCCTCTTTACCGTGTACTTAGCGTGCAGCTAGTTGAGCTTCTTCTTCGGCCTCGTCGACCTATAGTTGCGGAGGTCTAACTAGACCTTATCCCCCGCCGCGAACCTGTCTGCGGGATCCCGCGACTTATTGGCCTGCCGCTCCTGGTCCTAGGCGGCAGACGCTATCGAGGATTGGCAGAACTCCGAAACTTGTTGTAGCTTCCGCATAAAGGCGGACGCCCTGCCCTCCGGGGAGCTAGCTGGGTGGCGCTCCGCGCCTACATCTGCGGCAATAGGCCACGCCGACGGCGGTTCGAACCCGTGCAGCGTAAGGAAGGGGGACATGCCAATAGATAAGTTCGACCTACCGTTAAGCGCCATCTAGGCTGCGGGAAGCCACTTATCCCAGTCCGCCTAGTTACGGGCTATTACCCCCCGAAGGTAGGCTTGGACTTCCTGGTTAAGGCGTTCGGGCCCCCTATCAGTCTGTGGGTGGTAGGCCGTACTTAGCAACTGGGTGACTTAGAGCAGCTTGCAGAGGTGCTGCTAGAAGCGGCCGGTCTAATTGGTGCCCCTATCACTAGTGATCGAGGCTAGCCACCAGTAGAAGCGGGCGTAGCACTAGAGGAAGCGCTCGGCGTAGGCCTCCGCTTCTATAGACGGTATCGGCTCTAGCACTACTTCCTTACTTAGACGGTCCTTAATTACCTAGAGATTGCGGTTGCCGCCCGCTGTAAGGGGGAGGTCAGTGATAAAGTCCATCTATATATGCGTGTGGAACCGGTCAGGGACCGGCAGTGACTTTAACAGGCCCCTCTTAAGCGCTCGCTAGATCTTCGAGCGGCCGTAGATGTCATAGTTGCGGAGGAAACGGCGGACGTGCGGTGCCATAAGCGGCCAGTAGAAGTCCCGGCCAATCGCTGCCAGCGTGCCCTCGCGGCCGGGATGGCCGATCACGCTTAAGTCGTGGATCATCTACACGATCCGCCCTCTTAACCTATCCCGCTCCTCGACTTCCGGGGGGGCCGCCCTAGCTGCGGCCTCCGTTGTCGCCGGCGCGCCTGGGACCCATAGCCTGCCCTTATGGCGAAGGTGGCCACGGGGGTCGATATGGCAGTCGCCTACTTGGACTTTTAAACTAAGGCCGCGGTTAAGTGAGCGCGCCCCCGCCTCCACAGCGCGGCGTACGCTCGTATACGTGCTATCTTATGCCGCTAGCTGGTCCTATAGGCGTTAGAGCTCCTCATCTTAGAAGATACGCCGAGGGACGTCGGGCGTACCCTTAGGGGGGGCCGGGACCCCGGCCGCTCCTAGGGGGTTACCCTCCGCCCCTAATAGAGTGGCGCCGAGGTAAGTCTAGAGCGCCTTATCCGGGATCATCTATATATCTCGCGCATCGAGGTCTGCGGAGGTGGGCCGGTCCTGCTCTCTCCGTGAGAGGGCGTCCGGGACCGTAGCCTCCTTGCCTGGTCTATACTTAATGCGGAACTAGAAGCGCGAGAGATACTCCGCCCAGCGCGCCTACCGCTCTGAGAGATGCTGTCGGGTCATAAAGTATTCGAGGTTCCTATAGTCTGTAAGGATCTCGAAGCTCTCGCAGCTACGGAGTTCCGCCTACCACTACTCGAGGCAGCTAATAATCGCTAATATCTCCTTATCGTAGATTAGGTAGTTCCTCTCCGCCGCGGTAAGCTTGCGCGAGTAGAACGCCACTGGCCTCCTCTGCCCTTCTACTTCTTAGGATAGGGTTCCCCTAAGTGCGTAGCCGCTATAGTCCGCTTCTACGGTTAAGGGATTGCCGAAGTCCCACTGCAGCAGTACTAGGGCCTACGAAAACAAGTCCTTAAGGGTTTAGAACGCCTCTGCCTATGCGGGTCCCTAGGAGAAGGGGGCCCTATCCCCCGTCAGCTCGTTAAGCGGTAGCACGATCCGCGAGAACTCCCTAATAAAGACCCGGTAGTAGTTAGCGAAGCTAAGGAAGCTCCGTACGCCTCGTTGCGATATCGGGGTCGCCTAGTCGCGGATAGCTTGAATCTTGGCTGGGTCCGCTTATACGCCTACGCCCGCGATAATAATAAAGCCAAGGTATTTAACGCGCTTGACGCTAAATTCGCATTTATCCGGGTCTAGGTATAGGCCGTGCTCTGCTAGGCGGTTTAGCACCTTCCGCACCTTCTATATATGGTCTTCGTAGCTCCCGCTCGAATAGATAAGAATATCATCTATATATACGGACGCGAACTCATCGAGGAAACCCCTAAGCACCCGGTTAATGTAACGTTAGAACGTAGCTAGGGCACCTACTAGGCCGAAGGGGGTGACCATCTACTCGAATAAGCCGTATCTCGTGCGGAACGCCGTCTTCCACTCCTCCCCGTGCGCTATTCGCACCTTATAGAACGCTTAGACGACGTCGAGCTTCGTAAACTACTTCGCCTTTGCCAGGTTACGGAGGGTCTCTCCTATGAGCGGAAGGGGGTACCGGTCCGGGCGTGTAATCGCGTTCAACGCTCGGTAGTCTACGCAGAAGCGAAGTCCCCCCCCCGGCTTCCGCACGAACAGGACCGGAGCCGCCGCCTTAGAGGAGCTGGCCCTAATAAATCCCTTATCGAGGAGGTCCGTAAGGGACTTCTTTAATACTAGTAGTTCCTCTCGTAACATGCTATATAGCGGCCCGAACGGCGGGGGAAGCTCCTTGCCGTTATCCCCCGTACGGAGCGGTATTAAGTGGTCTACGCCCGGCTTATAGGGGTTTAACTTATCGGCCTCGCTCTTCCGGAAGAGCGGCAGCAGGTCGTGGAACCGCGGCGGGATGGCCTGCCGTAGCTCCTCTTCCGACAAAGGGCGCTTCGGTCGTAGCGCTTTCTCAATGTCCGCTAGGCTAACCGCGTAGATCGACGCTGTAGCTGCGGCCGGCCCCTTCCGCCTACGGATTTGCCGTATCGTGCCCACGAACACCGAGGCCAAGACTTCCTGGGCGTCTTATAAGTCGGGCAGAGCGTCTAGCGCTCCCTCCTTGCTACTATGCCGGACCTAGGACTACGTAGGGCTAAACCATAGCCTCCCCTCGTGCGGCACCGAATATGACTTCGTGTGCGTTAACCACGGCTTCCTAAGAATTAGGGGAAACTTAAGCTGGGGGACCATATATGCCACTAGCAGCCGCGGGAGGCCGTTAACCTCCGCAGCTACCTAGGCGACGCCTTTAATAACCGCGCCCTCTATCGCGGCCGAGGCGCCCCTTATACGCCTAGGGCGAATCTTCTCTACTGGTAAGCGCAGCTCAAGGGCTTTCGCTTCGTCAATTGCGGCGTAACACTGGCAACCCTCGTCTATAAGGGCGGAGAGGAGGTAAGTCTAGTTAATGATAACTAGTATTAAAGTAGGTTCTTCTTTAATACGCCTTGCTAGGTCCTCCTTAGCTAGTGTCAGCTTGCTAGGCTCCGGGGCCCGCCTTCGCACCGGAGCTAAGCTTTTCCCTCCGCTTCGTGTGTAGCGGAGGTTCCCCTATCTCCCTCGTCGTCGGATTCTAATAGGGCGCGGGTGACCCGTATCTCTACCGGCCTCCTTACTAGGAGGTAGGGGCAAGACTTAACTATATGCGTGCTCACGCCGCAACGCATATAGCGGCCCTCTTTGCGTCGTTTGCCAATTTCCTCGTAGGGCACCCACTTAGCCGTCTTGCCGGACTGCGCCGCTAGCGGAGCGGCCGGGGTCTTACTATTGCCGCGCCCCCCGGGGCGTATGGCCGCCATCCGGACGTCGCCGTCCGCATCGACCGCCGACTTAGGAGCGGGCCCGGGCGTGGACGGGTTAAGCAGGGAGGAGCTATCCGGCCCGTTGGTCCCGCTCGAGGCCAAGCGCTTACGCAGCTTCTGGAAGCGCGGCGTCTGCTCATATCCCCAGGCCACCTTCGTGAGGCGGCCTACGTAGCCCTCGTAGGCAGAGGGCATTATAATAGGGATAAGCAGCTCCCGGAGCGCCGGGGAGATCGAGTTCCGTAGCCAGGTAAGCTTAGCGCCGTTATCCTAGGCGGTGTTACCCGCCGCCCGGGTTAGGGTCTCTTCGAATTCCGGTAAGAACTCCCCGAAGGACTGCCCCTCTTATTGAGTAAGGGTCCGCAGCCTATCCTGCGCCTTCTCCTGTTCCTGCACGTTGCCGAAGGCGTAGACTAGGTGGTTAAAGAATGCTTGGGGGTCTTTCGTCCCCCCGGGACCACCCCGCTCCTAGAAGCCCGCTATTCGCCGCATCTAGGGCTCCGGCAGCGTGTGGAGGAGCGAGAACCAAGCCGTCTCCTTGCAGCCGTTAAGGCCCCATTTCTCGTCAATGTAGTATTTCGCTATTAGGCGGTTGAGGAAGAAGTAAAAGGTCTCTAGCTTGCCATCCCAGGTAGGCCAAGGCAGTGGCTTCCGTCTGCCGAGGGCCGCCTCGCGCTCC